AGCCAAAGTTTCACTTTCAACTCTACTGACATTTTGAATAAATCAAGCAGCCAAATATTTTCAACTGCCTCCCAAAGCCTCTATTTCCTAAAAAAAAATTTGACACGGAATTGGAAACTTTAAAGATCTGCTTGAAAACACATGGTATAGACTAATGTGACAGTAAATGGATTTAAAATCTTCAGTTTCACTTCCCCAGACACATCTATATTATTGTTAGCTTAGTAAACTACACCACTCTTGGCATTTGAAGAGGAACAAACAAGGATTCCAAAAACTACAATAAATAAAAAAATAAAAGATATTCCTTTGCCTCTGATTTTGCGTAAGAAACACCAAGTAGTGGCAACTGATCTCCATATATTGGGACGAGATTGGCACACATTCACTTGGCAAGATGGAATGTTGTTAAAATTTAGGCCTCCTTGTTTCCATGACATTTATAATGCAATATCCTTAGTGCTTTCTTCATTTAAAAGGAAAAACATAAAAACGATAAAAACAAGTGACATGGATATAATGGGCATATAAAAGTTAAACTGATATAGTGGGATAACACATCATAATGGGCATGCTTGTGGGTAAATACATGTGCAGATAAGAAAACAAAGCCTCTCAAAGTGTGGTCTGGGGAAACTTTCAGTAAATGTTGAAGTTGCAACAACTGTATCTTGTGTCTTTGCAGATAACAGCGTCCCCAGCAGCTCTAACGTTTTCATTACGTTCATTCACATTGGAGCCCAAGTAGGAGAGTAAAGCAGTGTTAGGGGACCCGTGACATTTCTGAATTGATACCCTTAGTCGACTTCTACTCACTCTACTTCCAAACCACACGTGGGACCCTACAAGGAAAGAAGAAATGCCAGATACAGACCCCTTATTACATGGTAAATAACTAAATATCTAACTTCCTATTTGGAGGAGAAGGAATAATGAATATAATCCTATCAAGTGTACCAAGAGGTGGTAGGAGAAACCAATCTGTCTCAGATGCTGGCAGTAAAGAGATACGCTGTCTAGAGAATTTAAAGTCAGTAATAAAACTGACTAAAAAACTGCTTTTTATTAACACCACGTGCTAGCAGTTCTATACAAGGTCAGTGATACAGGGTGGACAGAACGGTTCCCTCCATGCCCATCCCTTTTGAAATACCACTGACTACAATGACTCTTCTCCTTAGGACTTGCCAGCAAGCAGGAAAGTTGCATTTTGGCAGAAGGAAAAGCTACAAGGGAAAGAATTCTTATTTTTCTAATAGGTAATGTCTGTCCAGGACTTTACACACATATGTTATCTCTCTAATCCTCAACAACCATACAAGGCAGATAATACTGCCCCCATTTTACAGATGAGAAAACAGACTGAAAAGTTGAGCAATGTATTCAAGGTCACACAGCAACCAACGGGTGGAGCCACGGTTCTGATGGATGTCTTACATCCTCTAAACCTCACAATTTTAACCAGCTGAGTAGCTGGGACTCATAGACTGACATCATAGACTGATCATTTTGACAATAGGTACAAAACTTGGACAAGGTATAACCTCACTTTAGTACCCTTAGTTGTCATGGGATAATAACGGGGTAGGGCTGTAGAGAGCACACCTACAATGATGTAAGGAAGCTCTCAAAACCATCCTGGCGCACAATAAACTCATCAGAGATGACAGCAAATGGTACGTGGTTTTCATCCAGCAAACTTCATCTAAGAACCCTAGACACATTTTATCCCTTCCATGTGTTAAAGAATGCTGGACTCTACATCTCAGCAGCTTCACACCTTCCCCTGTAGCTGGATGGTTAAGTTGACAGTTCTGATGCTGAAGGGGATGCACACAGGTACGGGTGACTAGGCGTAGTCAGAGGCGGGCACCCTGGGAGCCCATGCGCCCCACCCCTACCCTTGTTTGTCAATGTGTTCAAGATTTCTCAGAGAACATCCTCTTGTTTTGTTACGCTCTGCCTCCTACTCCAAGGGCATAAATGCAAGATTATTGGGTGGGGGTATTGGAATGGGGGCAAAGGGATGGGTTTGTGTAGTTTCATTCTACTCAGTCTTGAAGTTACTGAGAGACTGGTCATGAGACTACTGGCCTTTAAAAAGTGACCCCAAATATTCTGCCACGTGAAATATACAGCAGTTAACAAGCACACGATGCCTACATAATATGTCAAAATTTCTCAGTTCAGATTGTGGTCTGTCCTGGAAAGCAATCTGAGTTTCTACCATCTGGTCTACGGCCATACCACCCTGAACACACCTGATCTTGTCTGAATTCTTTGTATGAAAGAATTCACGACACATATTACTGTTATTTAAAGGTGATAACAAAATCTTGTTTCTTCTTTAAATACAACACTAATTATGGGGGGCCCCACAAAGTACTAAAGCCTACCATTTTCATAAATCAACCGGACAGGACTGTAGAGGACACACATAAGACAAAGCCTTTGTTTGTTTACTTTTTGGCCCTTGCATTATTTTAATGCAATGATACCATAATACATAGCAATCGCTCAATATAACCACTGACACTCCTATTTGTAACATGAATTTATTCCACTTTTCACAAGCCTAGATCCAATCTCTTTGGTAAATAACATTATTATAACAAATAACTATAATTTCTTTGTAACATAATCTTTGTTAAGATAGCATTTTATTTTACAATTTGAAGTTCTTACAGATAAACCCTTCTCCAATAAGATGCTGTAAACATCTTATCTTTACATGACATTGTAAACTTAATGGGGTTTTCCAAGGCCCCCCCCCATCAGGCTTTTCCACGTTTGGAAATATATGTCAGGTTAACTTGTGTGCAGGATGAAAAAACAATAGGAGTTATTTAAAACCTATTGCATAGCCTGGAGGAAGCTCTGTGAGGGTGGGGATCTCTGTGCATGAATGAAGTGAGTTCAGCTTTTGCTAATCGGTTATATGTTCTGTTTCTGCTTTTTTTTTTTTTTTTTTTTTTACCATTTCCATCATATGATGTAACCCTGAGCATACGATCAAACCAGCCATATAAAGGTACAAATGCGATGTAAACATTCTCTTAGTTCAGGCCTGATAGGACCTGGAATACCACAGGGTCTCAAAAAAAGGTTTGTTCAACACATAAGCAAGGGATGGTAGAAACGGGACCCCTTCATCATGTTAACTTGGGGAGCCACATGCTCCCCACCCACATACTCTGCTCCTTCCTCTGTTTTTTCCCATCAAACACAAAACCTTAACTACTAGATAGGAGCACTTGACATTGTATATACAACTGATCAGATGAAACCTCATAACACATATGTTCCAGGACCCAGGGCTGGAATAAAGCAAGTATGGTCTCGGCAAAGCAAGCCACATCTCCACTAATGGTAGCACAGGCATTCTAAAGAGAACTGAAGCTTTTCTACTGTTAGAGCTTGTAAGGCAAGGAATGTCACTCGCCATCCAGTTCTACAAGGATTGAGTCATTAGCCACTGCAGTCAGTGACCTGCAATACACCCTGAAAGGAATTCAGGGTGAAGATCAGGTGCCCTGGGCAAACAGGCAAAAACAGGCCCTCAGAGAGTTAGAAATATTTCAAGAGAAATTTTTTATGAACCTGGATTCTTGCAACTTCACATACCTAGAAAAAAACACTACTACCATTAATTGAGATACCATTAATTGAGATAGCCTTTCTTCGTGACTAGCAGTAGTAACGTTCTACTGAGATGTTTGCTTGATAGCACGTACCCCTCTCCCCTGGTGTCTCCTCCCACCTCTCTGGAGCAGTTCCTCAGAGCTATCTGAGAAGCTATAGTTCCCAGGCTATCGTCCTCAGTAAGTCCCTGGATAAAACTGAAACTCCCAGTTCTCACACTGTGTGTTATTTTATTTCAGGTGTTAGGTTTGTTTTCCTTTTTCTACCTGATCCAATGCACAGAAGCTGAAATTAAATAAGAACATACCCTTTAAGTTTACATTACTGAGAAACGTGGGCAGGCATCGAGTGGCTGAAATTAGAATTCCTTTCCATGTCATTGTTTGAGTATTTATGTTACTATACTCAGGATCCCTTTGTCTTTAGTCTTCCTCATGCTCTCCAGGCTCCTACAAGTTTTGTGTGCAAATGTCCTGATTGTCTGAGAGTTACAAAAGCCCAGACCTCACACACAGGCTGAGAAGGAGCAATGGTCTGCTCCAAGCTTTCAGGCGAAGCACAGAGGCTGTGGGACCAATCAAAACACCTCACTACTCTGAAGGTATTAAAGACCAAGAGAAAAGACAAAATTAGACTGTGTGACAAAAACATTTTTTCGAGGATATATAGAAAGAGACATTTATCGAGAGAGATATTTAGTAAGTCAACCAAAGTCGTTGAGTGTCACACTGTAAACTGGGTAAAGTCTTTGTCAGGGAATCCTCTTAAATTCTCAATCTTAGTCTTTCACAGGTACTGATCCCTAATTTCTATCTTTGGGTGATTTAGCTCCCTTTTCTTTACTATACCTAGAAAACAACTTTGACATCCAGGCATGTCCAGAAACACACCCTAGACATGCATCAAGCTATGGATGCTAGTACATTCTTCCATTATCTAGGAAAGCTGGCCACATGCTGGTGTGCAGACATAGACATGGAGCGCATGGGAAAAAAGAAGGTATTCTGCTCTGCAGGAGCCCGGGCAGGCTCTCATAAGGCCCCAGCAGGGTCATCAAGCGAAAGGAGGATGTTAGAAGCTTGGAGGGAGCCCAGAGGACTGCCATCAAAAGAAATAAATGTTTGGGCTTCCCTGGTGGCACAGTGGTTGAGAGTCCGCCTGCCAATGCAGGGGATGCGGGTTCGTGCCCCGGTCTGGGAAGATCCCACATGCCGCGGAGTGGCTGGGCCCGTGAACCATGGCCGCTGAGCCTGTGCGTCCGGAGCCTGTGCTCCGCAATGGGAGAGGCCACAACAGTGAGAGGCCTGTGTACCGCAAAAAAAAAAAAAATTTTTAATTTAAAAAAAGTAAATGTTTGAGAAATAATCCTGAAGGGGCAAGTTGAAAGGAACTGGGCTTGTTTCCCTGGATAACAGCTTATAAGTGCACAGCATGGACCAGCCTGGGCAAGGCCTCTTCTGGGTAGTGAGAAGGCAGCTCTCAAGCCACACAGGGCCCACGGAACAAGAGATAACAGCTTCAGGGGCGATTTTTAAATTTCTAGAGAAATGTGGGGCTCTCAGATTTTGAAATGTATGTCCAAAGGAAGTGACAGATGGCTTTCTGTTACCCCCTTCCCGACATCAAGGATAATCAGAGATAATCTAGTTTAGAACAATTGACAAACCTCAGAGAGAAGGTGAGTTCTCAGTTCAACACTTAGGTCACTGTTAGCTCTGTGATTCCCTGATTTGACTTGGGGGGCTGTTACTTAAAAAATGTGAAGTGTGTGTGTTCGTGTGTGATTGTGTGTGTGAGACAGTGGGCAGAGTATGTGAGAGTTTGTGTGTATTCATGTGCATAAGTATATTGGGAGAGTGTGTGTGTGTGTGTGTGTGCATGTGTGTGTCAGAGGATGTGGCTCTCATCTCCTTCCTTCCCAGAAGAAATAAGTACAGACATTTCTTGGGAACATTTTTCCAAAGACAGCTGGCACTCTGGAGACACACCCTAGCTGCTCCTTCCTTGAAGGAAAGACTGGCTTTCTCATGGCCCTGCTCCTTAGTTTCTATCCCATCACCTGCTGCAGTAAAACTAGAGATGGCCCCATCTCCAGATTAATGGGGGTCACTAACACCATAGTCCAGAGATGGAGGGATCACATGAACAGCATTTGCTGTCTATAGAGGCACTCACACTTCTTTCTTCTGAGTACACAGCTTTCTACTTCACTACAGAAGAAAAAAAAAGATAAAGTGATGTGCTTCAAGTGCAAAATATTTCTCCTATACCGTTTTGCTTTTATAAATAAGAAAATAAAATAGCTTTCTCATGGAAGCTGCAGAAATTCAATCTAATTTCCAAAGGTTTGCTTTGTGACAAATGCCAAAATATGTGGCTGCTTTGCTGTAAAATTCCAAGGAAATGTCACTTTCCCCTAATTGCCCCGTGACTGCTCTATTTATTCAGGAGTGAATTAAGAAAGAAAAGATCTATTTTTCATCTCACCGAGTTTTAGAGGGTATTATGCGTTGTGTAAGAAGCTCTAAATGCTTTGGAACTCATACTTCTTTCTTGAACTTCCCGTCTTCTCCTAGGTATTTTAAAGTTCCAGTCAGATGAGACTATACATTTCTACAAATCTTGTGTCTCCTATATTACCTGAAGCCGAAACAGACTGCATAGCCAAGCAAACATTACCTCCACTTTTATTTTTACACAAATGCCCTTGGTGGGCAGTCACTATGCGCCCCAGGCTCCTCGGCAGGTCAGTCAATCACTACTGTCTCCAGATTCTTTAGGGGTGGTCCATCATCATTGGCCTAGGCTCCTGGGGGTGGGCGGCAGTCCCTTTTGGCCAGCTCTACCCATCTCTGCTGGAGTAACCTCCGTCCCTTCTGTCTCCTCCTGCAATACTTCTCAGAAAGCTCCAACCATGATCTGAAGTGGTGGGTGAAAAACTAGTACTGAGGGAGCTGAAAAGAGATAAGATGTGAACAACCTGGAAAAAAAAAAAAAACACAGCTCCTTCTCTATGAGCAGAAATGTCCCTTAATATGGCTTCTTAAAGCCAGACTCCTCAATAGATAAGCACTACTGGAATTATATCAATGACTGCTTTTGTTTGTCTGAAACAGGTCACATGGTCTTCCAAAGATTTCCTAGTAAGAAGTCTATTAATCGTCTATTAAGTCTATTAATCGTCTATTAAGCGTTCTGTGTTTTAATAACTATTAGGAATCCCGGTGGAGGAAAAACACTTTTTAAAAAAGTGACCAGGATGATTGTCGCATAATGCTAGGTGTTCCGTATCCTAGTTTGTGTACGAATATTCAATGTTTTTAAATGTCTTTCACCATTGCCTGGGGTGACTTAGCCTAGGGAGGTGTCATCCTGGTTGTAACTTAAGGAGACATCTCAGTCAAGAGTGTGGGAATTAGGTGAGAAGAGGGTCTTCAATAAGTACCCATTGCCTTTAGTTCAATTCCAAGTTGTAGGAATGCAGAGCAAGGTTCTTCTGAGCCATGTTTACCCCGTTAGCGCTAGCATATGGGAAGAGGTGAATACTACATCTGGTCACAAGCCACAGGGGAGAGACTCAGAGGCCAGCATTCTAATTTGCAGCCCCGACACCCCTTCTATGATGTGGCTGTGTGCCAGAATTTCTCCTGGTTGGAGAGAAAAAGTGCAGCACCTAAGTAACAAGAGGGTCTTTCTCCTGTTGCTGTGTTTTGAAGAATGAAGAACATCCTACCAGGTAAGCGAAGAGCTGATAATGCAAAGGTACAGAGTTGCACCTTGTTTGTCTGTAAGTTACCCCAGGAAACTGCTTTCATTGAGAATTGAAGGGACGTAGGATGAAACAACTATAAAGATAATTAGGAGAAAAAGCAAATGAAAACAAAGAACACAAAACCTCTCTGAGATACTGAGGTAATGCAATAGCAAGGTATATACACTTGGAAAATTGATTGTATTAATGCAGTCCTCCTCCAGCTAGCTAAAGGTCTCTCCTTTCTGTATTCAAGTTTTTAAGCTTTGAAAATCTGTAAATGTAATATTTTGGAATAGCTTTAATCAACTAAGGTGGCAATTTATCTTAGTGAGGTTAATTGTGTTATTTATTTATTTATTCATTGTCTTATTGTTTCTACCTCTTTTATACCCAAAAAAGTGTTTGAGGTGGATTCATTTGGTTACAAAGCATTTAAAATGTTAAATTAAGACACAAGAAATTCTAAATGGCACTTGAGATGCTCTTGAGAGGAGCCTCTCATCTATTGCATTTGTAGATATCTCATATATTCATGAATCAAATCCTGTGCATATTTAAGCCAGACCAAAATACTATAAAGCACCCTGTCTCCCATTAGAAAAAATGCAATTATTCTTCCTGGTTATGTTTTTAAAATAGCTTGACATTTATATAATTGATGAATATGTAATTTGCTAATCAGTAATGGACAGTTCCCATGGAGGTATCATTGCTAGTTTTATAATTTACAATTTCAGAAGAGTTTTATGAAAGTGAACATTAAAGCTGGGACAAGCAGAGAGAAACCACTCCAGGATGGTATTATCCTATTTAACACCTATAATACATTTAACAGCAACAACAATTAAGCTTCACAAATTGTCATTGTACTGAATTCCTATTGGATGAATTATAGATAGAGCATTTATATGTAGTGATTTTTCCCCATACTATATCCTCCGTACACAAGCATGTACCAATGAACATCAGAGCAACATACTATACTATAAAGGATTAAATGATACTGTAGCTTATGCCTTTATTCCTTGTATCTTTTCTCCAAATGATAATAGAGATCTCATATACCATGCATAAACACTTACATTCCCTTACTGAGAACATTTCTGATATTTTTGGTATAAGAGAGAAAAGTCATTCATTTAAAGATTGCGTTATTAATCAACAGTTTGGGGTAAATACCTAGATTATCTGGTTGGTCAATTTGTCTTTATGGCCAAGAAAAAAGACTAGCTGCCATGTTCAATCCAAATGAGTTGGTATATGAATATTTATCAGGACATCAATATTCACTGTCTTACAATCATGCTCCAAGTTAAATAAAAATAAAAGTAAGACGGCCACAAATATTACAGTATAATAAGATAAGAACTAAACAATATGTACAAATTCGTTGACAACATCTGTGCAAGCGTTGTGGACAAAACATTTAAAAAGAAATCTACATAAAACAAAGTCGGTAAATTTATCAAACGTTGATAAATTTTCGGAGACGGTATAAAAGTACACAAAACACGGAAGAGAGAAAGAACTTTAAAAAAATAACCACTAAGCCAATACATATAGTACAAGTTTACATTTATATTACAGAATGATGGAAACCAGAGACAAAAACGATTTGGTAACAAACAGCAAAGAAAGTTTCACCAATCACAAGGAAGAAAGACTTTCCTTTTTGGATGAAAACACAGAGGGCCACAGCTCATCCCTCCCACCCATACACACACAGAAAAATAAAAGCAAATGCAAAAGTTGTTACAGCAACACACGACAGACAGAGGTGGAAAGCGTTTGGCATGTCGCATCACAGGAAGTCAATCACGATTGGCTAACGATGATGGTACCTGGCTCTGTTGCAGGTCACTGGCTTGCCTGAGAGGAGTAACGGATGGAGGGGGCACACCTGATGTGGACGCAGACCGGCCTAGCTTGCAGCTTACTTTCGGTTCTGTGAACAAGGGGGAAAGACAGAGCATTAGCTGAGCAAAGTCTGCAGGGATGAACCGGACTCCAGGCTTTCTTCTGGTTTTGCTACACGTTCTTTTAATACACTGAATTCTCCTGATGTTTACTAATCATTGGCAGGTGATGAAACAATTTCATAACAATTGATTCTAAAATGAGCCTTGTTCACAGATCAGCTCCTGGGAATAAAGAACAAACCACTTAAGTTCCACGCCTTGTTGCCTTGCACACTTTACCCTATTTAGAGTGGGTTTCTATAGAGCGATTACTGGAGCAACAAAATCCCACTGGGGAAAAAGCCAGTGACATGACTATTTTTGGTGCTTCATTTTCAGTCTTGGTCCAAGGGTCTCCTGTGTCCTAAAATGTCTTTTCCACCCTCTCCAAATTTTTCTTCCATCCCTCCCTCCTTTCATTCTTTCATTCTTTCTTTTCTTCATTCATTCTCTTATTCTTTCCTTCTTTTTCTTTTCCTAACTTTCTAATTTTCAAGTCCATATTGTGCTGATTACTTTCACCATGCTTTTGATGTAACATTTCTCTAATTTAACTTCATTTGCTTTGAATTGTATAACCACTTCGAAGACTTTTGACATCTTTCATAATAATATTATTTTTCAAAATTAAAAAGCCTTCCCCTAACTCTTCCTCTATTTAAGGAGCCTAAATAGGCTGCCTAGGTCATTATCAAGATACTTTGAAGACTGCAATTTGGGGAATGGAAAGAGTTCCCTTCATTCAAGAAGCTCAGAATTTATGGTATACAGACGACACTGATTTTCAGACATATCTGAAGGTATTTATAAAGGAGAAGAAGGCATCAAAAGAAAAGTTGACATCTATGCTTTTGCCACAAACTTTTATATTAGCTGTCAGTTTTTGAGTGCCTAGTATATCCCAGCTTCTGTTTGGGCTGCACTTAAATTATCTCAAATCTTAAAGATAATCTTTAGAGTTATGAATTAGCTATAAATCCTCCCAATTTACAAATTAGAAACCTGAGGCTCAGCAAGGTTAATATTTGCATTGCAAATACACAAGCACTTTTCAAAAAAACCTTTCATTATATTAATAAATTTGACTTAAATATGAAACTCTCTGAACTAGTGGCTTCAAATGATATTACATCACTAATTTACCAAGCAGTGGCAAGCTGATGCTAGAGAACAAGTTCTGTGCTGGATAGGAACACTATCTTTATGCCACTTTTTTTTTTTTTTTTTTTTTTTTTTTGTTTTCGGGCCGCTCACTTTTGTTGCCTCTCCCGTTGCGGAGCAACAGGCTCCGGACGCGCAGGCTCAGCGGCCATGGCTCACGGGCCCAGCTGCTCCGCGGCATGTGGGATCTTCCCGGACTGGGGCACCAACCCGTGTCCCCTGCATCGGCAGGCGGACTCTCAACCACTGCACCACCAGGGAAGCCCTATGCCACTTTTATATAAGCTGCTCTTCAGAGAAAAGCTTTGCTATGTCTGCATCACATGACCTATGGCTAACTTCAGCCTCTGCTAACTGCCTTCTGGCCATTCTCTCCCCATCCTTCACAGACACCAGATACAGATACAAAGAATAAGATAAGCTGGCGTCCATTCACACAGAGACCTTTCAATACACCCTCACCCACACACACCCTTCCTCTCCCACCCCTGCTTCAAACTATTAATGCCTCACGTCCATATTAGAATAATTATCTTAACGGGTACTAATAGCCTTTCTTGGCAAATTAGATAGTCTTTTACTCTGTGCTTCTGATTTAGCAAGAAAAAAAAGACAATAAGCAGGCTTTGGACTATGAGATGACTCCACTAGCTATAGGACCTTAGAAAATGTTTTTCATATCATTTAAGTTTTATTTCTTTTCAAAACAAATGAATATAATCCTTTACTCATTATTCAGAATCCATTTATTTTATACCTACTATGTGCCAGGGACTGTACAGAGTGTGGTCACCAAAAACCCACTCTTGCCCTAAGAGAGACTTACAATCTATCCAGGAGCAAAGATATTAAGCAACAAATTATGCATTTAATTATATAAAAGCAGCTGTGACCAGCCCTCTCAGTGGAATTATCAGTGGTAGAAGAACATTTGCTGGGGGAATGAACAGGTGTTAGAAGGATGCTGACATCTACTTTGTGGGCAGTAAAAGTTAAAGAGCTCATTTGTTCTTTGCTCTTTCAACAAACATTTATCAAGGGCCCACCACGTGCAAAGCACTGCAGTGGATGCTAAGAATATGGGTGAGGAAGACACCAATTTCCCATATTTTAATGAGGTTTATGTTTACTCAGGGGAGACAAACAGTATGCCTAAAATGGTTTCCTGAAAATTCAGAAAAATTAGAAAGGAGAAGTACAGGGTGCCATGGTATCATTGATCAAGACATGCCTCGTGTTCTGGGAGCTAGGGAAGGCTGGGCCCTAAAAGAGCTGTAGTATCATAGGATATTTGTCCTTCTCTGTCTGGCTCACTTCACTTAGTATGATAATCTCTAGGTCCATCCCTGTTGCTGCAAACAACATTATTTCATTCTTTTATGGCTGAGTAATATTCCATTGTGTGTGTGTGTGTGTGTGTGTGTGTGTGTGTGTATGCATCTCACATCTTCTTTATCCATTCATCTGTCAGTGGACACTTAGGTTGCTTCCATGTCTTGGCTATTGTAAACAGGGCTGCTGTGAACGTTGGGGTGCATGTGTCTGTTCAAATTATGGTTTGTAGAATCTAAAAAGATGATCTAAATGAACTTCTTCACAAAACAGAAATAGACTCACAGACATAGAAAAAAACTTATTTACCAAAGTGGCAATGGAGTGGAGGGATAAATTAGGTGTTTGGGATTAAAATATACACATTACTATACATAAAAGAGATAACCAACAAGGACCTTCTGTAGAGCACAGGGAACTGAACTCAATATCTTGTAATAACTTATAATGGAAGAGAATGTAAAAAAAAAAAAGAATATATGTTTATATATATATGTATAATTGAATCACTTTGCTGTACATCTGAAACTAACACAACATGATAAATCAACTACATTTCAATAAAAAAATTAAGAAGACAAGTACAAAATAGAGATCTACATTATTTAAAGAAAAAAAACGCTGTGATAATTCACACCTGCCAATGGTGCTTAGCAGGTGGTAAAAGCTGAAGTAGGGAGGACCATGGGTGCTTAGGTTTATTTTCCAACCTACCCAGAAGTCAAAACTATTTCAGGATGTATTCCTTTTATTCACTTTATTGCTTATATAGTATAAAGAAATAATAATGAATCACATATTCTGGTATCTAGGAGAGTGGGGATAGGTGAGCTAATGATGGATAAAAGATGGAACCGTTTCCACCTATGATGCTTATGGCTTCACCTCCCTCTTCTCTGTTGTTTTCTGTTTGTCTTTTTGTCTTGTTTTGCTTTCTCCCTCTGCACTTTCTCCCTCAGAACATGTGCATTGTCATGGCTTCTTGTGTATCATCTTTTCCCTCTTGGGTCACATGGAGGTTTCTACAGGTCTGTCCTCTCTTCACACCCTTCCTTGCTTGATGTTAAGCCGCAGTGCCTTCTAGAGACTAGGGATTAATTAGGAGTTTGGGATTAAAATATACACATTACTATATATAAAATAATAATAAACAAGGACCAAATGATAGCTTTTTCTCAACATCTTAGGTATCCTTCTGATTTTCCTATTTATAGGTGGAACATTACCTCCATTTTCCTAGAAGCTTACTTTTTATGTTCAGAGCTTTCTTTTCCTCTTTCTATAAAGTTAGCCCTGTGGTAGTTTTCTTTCTTTGTGATTTATTTCAACTCACAGACAATACCACAATTTTGGTATTCAACAACTTGAACCAAAAATAATTTTATATATAACATAGGTAATATATATAATTATAATTATATATCGTTAAATATATGTGTGTGTATATATATATATGTGTGTGTATATATATATATATATGTGTGTGTATATATATATGTGTGTATATATATATGTGTATATATATATGTAAAATCTACCTGCTGGTCCCCATACCCATAGTTTCTCTGCTCAAAACTAACTTGTACACAATGCCAGGCGGAACTTCTTAAATTGCTTTTAGATCACACACCTTATTCAAAAGTTTTAAATTACTCCCCACTTCATATGATAAAAACTTCAAACTCACTTGGCTAATATTCAAAGGTCCCCCTGTGATCTGGCCCCATCTGATCTGATCCACTGTGCTCTCTGTGGCTGTCTGCTCCCCAAAGCATAGACAACTCAGTATCTCTTCTCAGTCTCCACATCTTACCCTGCTTCTGTCCTTCACAAGGTGTCCCCACGCATGGCCTTTCATCAGACCAGATGTTATCTATTTTCTAAGGCCTGCTTCAACGTGCACGTATATTGTAAAGCATCCTGCAACCTTGTTTACCTCTTTCTTCCAAATAGCCTTAGCACTTATACACCATTTGCACTGCTGGCTGTGGCTCTGAGTATTTATGTTGGTGAGGACCACAGAGTAAGTGTTCAATTAATATGATTTTTCTTTCACTGAAGACACTCAAATTAACCTAGAAAACGTCAATGCAACTTCTAAAGCAAATTGTGGCAATGACAGTAACATAGAATATGTTTTAAGGCCTGGGTTCAAGGTCTGGCTCCCCGACTTACCAAGGCAGTGATTCTCATTCAAGGGTACATGATTTTCTAGGGAAACTCTCCCTAAGTTTTGTGCAGGTGATTCTAGTATCTACCCACCCACTCTTGAAAATATAAGAGTGTTCAAATATAAATGTGTCCCATGATGACATAACCTATCACTCTAATTTATAAATGAACCTAATTTCCCAGGAGGCATAAATCCTAGCATCTCTTAAGGAATCATCTTTTATTATATAAAATAAACGTAAAACATCTATCAGAATCCTGGTTGACATGTTTTCATAATAAGCCAATGTTTCCATATATACCTTTATTGAATTAGCACATT